TTAACGAATGAAATTTACATGTGTGTGTGTGTATATATATATATATATATATATATATATATAAATTCATACACCAACTTGCTTGGGCTATGTTAATCAAAAGATTATAATATTTATTTTTAAAGATTTAATTTAATAGCAAAAGTTATTTGTTAATTCAGAAGATCTAAAGATCTTTGCTTGTTCAGTGATCAATATAAGCCCACTCCGTGTTTATTTCAAGAAAGAGTCCAGTTTAAAAAGGTTAAGAAATTTATTACTAAACAATTTAAACATGCCAAATCTCAAAGATGAGTTTCTGGCCACCGATGTAATTGGAAAGATGTTTACCTGTCCACATGGTGGAAAGAGAAAGATTATTGCAATCAGAATATTTTAACACAAGTTGTTGTTTGTCTTGCTCAACTACAGTGGTAGGAGCATCAGCTAGGTCCATGACCTGATCAGTGTTAAAGAAATCAACAGAATGTCACTCTGATGAAACCTGAGTCGTGGCAAAGGCTCTGGGCTTGGCAGTGAACATATTGTTTCCCCCTGCTCAGAGTTACCAATCGTAAGACAGTGAAGGTCAGGAGGCAGAATGATGGGCAGAGGTTCTTCAACCCCTGACCAGAGTTCCCCGCTTTCCATATCAGTGAAGGCTTCAATGCACCTCAGAAGGTCCATGACGAGGGTCATGGGCATCCTCGCATGCTCGCAGATGTACACGGGTGTGTCAGGATTGTGGGACCGATAGAAAAGTGGAGGGCAGACCTAGAAGACAAGATTAAGTCATGAGAGAAAGTCCTGACAGTTACAGAACGTGGAACGATTTCTGGGGGCCTGACCCCGCTCCACAAGAAATGTAGATGCGGTCGAACATTGAACGAGTTATCAGTGTAAAATCAGAACCTGTGTCTAGAAGGGCTTTGCAGGATAGATTCTGGGTCAGTTTGACTGACACTAGAGGTTTACCAGCTTTCTCCTGGGGCACGAGGTGTTCCAAGAACAGTTTGGGGGACTCAATGCCAGGGTGGACCGAAATTTCCTCTTCCGGCTCTTGGAGGGTGCAGGCGCTTTTTTCCTCCTGTCCTCCATATCTTATCCTCAAGGCCCTTTGTCTGTCTGTGTGTGCTGGGTGCACGGCTGCTTCTACATTTTATCTGGAAACTGGAAACTGAAATTCACTAAAATGGATCTCATCAGTTGGTCTCTCAACGCGATTGATAAAATTTTTTCAACAATGAGAACGGGAGAAGGGGCTCCCGGATGCCCCTCCGCGACAGACCCAGTTGGATACATCATGGACTCCTGGAAACAGTGGAACTTGATTTGTTCATCTTTGCTGTCTGTGGGGGACTCTGAAGATGTGTGGATATTCGTTTTGTTGGTGTCAGGTTTCCTGCTCATTGGGCTTGGAGGCTACCTGGCTTACTGGAAAATTAACGGGCTGTCGAGGAATATTGGCCTGATCCCGGAGCTCAGAGATGGTTTGCACCGCGCTGTGAATTCACAGACACACATAATCGTCGAGATGAATTGTAAGCTTGGAACTTTGGCCGAGATTCATTATTGGCACAAAAGATGGATGCCATCAAGGAGAGAGATGACAAATCAGCACAGATTGGGATAGTTTAATGTCCATTATTGGGACTTTGAGAGGTTGAGGACCAACAAACTGTAAGACGGAGAGGAAATTATCTCTGTCTGGCCCCAAAACAATTTCTAATCGGAATCTGGCGCCCTTGAGCCTGCAAGGCTCCAACGAAAACTCCCCCCCCCAGAAGATATGTGGAATGTGCCGTCGCTATGGCAACTCAACTCTGTCTCCTTTCCCAGCCTGGGTGGGACAGCGGGAAAGCCGCTGAAACGTTCCAGGGTCACTGCAACCCTCCAACCCTCAATGTTCCTCCCCCATCCACACTGAGGTGACATGCGCTGCTTATCATGGCTGCAGGAACTGAAGTGGGGATAGTCCCAACCCACCATCCCACCTAGTGAACACATGTTGTGTTGTCTGAAGTCTGTTGCATATCTGTCTGAGGTGGTTTTTTTTTTTTTTTTTTTTGCAGAGCAAAGCTGCCCTCCCGGTGGAGGGTAGCTCTGAAGTGCCTTTTTTCCCCTCCACCTGAACCAATCCTCATGTAACCCTCTTATCTCTATTAAGGTAGCGTGACTCAGGGTTGCGAATGACCACAGTCACCAATTCTTGTCATGTGTCTTGCCCATGTATATCTGATCTCTGAATTGTGTGTACTGAAACTCTAATTTCCCTCTGGGATTAATAAAGTATCTTTGATTTGGTTTGATTGATTTCGTCCTTTGCGGATGAATCGGTCCACAGCGATGGTACCGACTTCTCCGGTCCTAGCGATGCCGCAGGCACACAGGTGGAATTGGTTTGTGTCTGCAGATTCTTAAGGAATCTCGTAGCTTCAGCTTGTTCTGCAGGTGTCGTTTTGTTGTGTCGGAGCAACTCTGCCAACGTGACAGAAATCGCTTGTTTGGTTAAAGAGCATTGGGCGGCCGTCCCAACCTTCTCTAGAACTCACTCGCAAATGACGAGAGTTCTGTTTTAAAAGATGGCTATTATCATTTCTAACGAATCAGGTTTGACATGTAGAAGGAAGATTTAACAAACCCTCAGAAACACGCCTCCCTGAAGGTGCTGGTGTTATGGGAAAAGATCCTGTGAGTGCAAGTAACCTTCAACCTAGTTACTGTGACCTGTGTTTCTGTGTATAAGTGCACATGATCACTTCCTGTCATGTTAACATTACTGATTATCATAAATAATTATTAACCAAAGAATTATAATTCATTTCAGTAATTAAACACAGTTATAATGAACCTTGATGATTACCAGTAAAATGAGTTTATTTGAATTATTCTTTTAAATCTTGAAATGTCCTCTTCTTGCTGGATGGAATAGCAGTAGATAAGCAGACAGCTGCATGGATTAAAGGTGTGGTAGCAGACTTTAAGTCTCCTGTGAAGGACTATATTGCAGATTGGAGTAGTAGCCTGGGCAAGGTGATCCAGGCTGTGTATCTGACCTGTAAGTCTTAAAATCAGGCCATTCGTGATGTTACAATATATACACACGTTTGGCTTTATTGTAGCAGGATGTGTACTCATACACGTTTACACTAATTTGCTTATTTTACCCCCACTGTTGGGAGAAACTTGAAAATTAGGCTGCAACTGAAAAGCTCTGGTAGTGGTGGTGTGCACAGGTCATTCAGATGTTTCCACAGATACAAAATGGTTGTGGAGTATCTATGAAGACCACACTGAGATTTCTTAGAAATCAAAGTAACTGAAGAACATTTGAACATTGCACACTTTATTATTCCTGTGAAAAAATACCGTCTAAACACCAATTACAACAAAGTAGAAAAGTACTCCTGGCTCAGTTATTTCCACCAGTTGGTATTTGGTTCCAAAACTTTTGTCTCCACATTCTTCTCGTTTCTATTTAGACGCGTCTTGGATCTGCCTGCTGAGTTTTTCTGATGGCATTGCCAATGATTTACAAAAGGATTCTTGAGATTGTGTACTTGGATGAAATTATATTTCTCAGAAAGCTGTCTTATTTTTTAACACACTTTAGTATAAAAAATCAGTCAAATAGATTTCTGTTATTATCTCAGTTCAGTCTCATTGATAGGACTCACTGGGGTTTTCAATACTATCTGGTGTGCTTATTTATCTTTAAGTACATTAAATGGGTCCTAGAATAACTTTTATTCTTACAATTAGAAACTGTTCTTTAAGACTCTTTACAGAATGTAAAGCTTTGTTGGGGCTCACAATGGCCCAGGAGCCCTATTATTTACAGCCCCATGACCAGCTCAGTGGCCTAGTGGTAGAGTGTTTGCCCTGGTACTGGGAGATCAGGGTTCGATTCCTGGTCGGGTCATACCAAAGACTTTTTCAAAGGGGACCCAATGCCTCCCTGCTCGACACTCAGCTTTAAGGGGTTGGATTGGGGGGTTAAACCACCAAATAGTTCCTGAGCACGGTTATAGCTGCAGCTCACCGCTCCCCTCCATGGGGATGGGTCAAATGTGGAGATGAATTTCACCATTGTGTGATGGTGACTATGGGACTTGAACTTTATGATATTGTTCTTGGTGTACCCCTCCCACTTGGCCAGGACATAAATGTTAAATGAGCTGTCACCAGATCGCCTTTAGGAGCAACTTGTAATAAAAAACTGAAGGAGCACGGCTTCTATTGCAATCAAAACCACGTTATGTCCAAGCTAAAAGAAAGCCCGTGACAGCGCAGAGACCGCCCCCACACCCCCTTTCTACCGCCATTGTGTAATCTTTTGTGAGAAGCGCCACATTACCACCACAGTCTGACCACTTATGAACAACCAAAGGGTCCCAGATGCCGCCTCAGCTTTGCGGCAAATTGGCGGGATTGTTGTGTGAAAGAGGCTTTGAAAAATCTCAATTTGAATATAGTTTGTGCTTCTTTAAATTAGTTCACTTTGATCATTTGAATATGTTACCCCGACATAAGTAAGAAAAGGCTTTCTGAGTACAGCAGCATGGGTAACCGTGACATGTTCAGAAGCAAATGTTATTACTGATGCTAAGAGGTCATTAAAATGTGCTCCATTTTTCGTTATCTGCCCCAGAGAATGTTTCCTTCTTTCATAATTCTTCATGAGGATTGAGAACAAAAGCTTCATCTCCAGCTTAAATTACTGGCTGTCACACAGTTCCAGTTTGACTCCCTGAAGCCTCATGAGAAAGGCACTGAGAGCGATGATGCTCGGATTCTGCTCAACACTTACAATAGGGGTGGGTGGGGGGGTGCGTCATTAACTATCATGCTGTGGGCATCTTTCTGTCAACAGCTGCAGCATTGCCAGTTTCTAAAATCTCGTTCTGAATTAGACTTGAGCTTTGTCGTCCCCTTTTTACGGCTGCCTTGTCGGGCTGCTTTAAGTCACAGTAATTAGCTGTTGCTTTAATCTTCTTTTGTTTGTCTCGCTGTGATGGCAGGGGTGGAGGCATGTCTGCAGGCGGGGAAGTGGGCGCCTGAAGCTGAGCATGAAGCGGGAGAAGGCCCTCAGCGCAGTCGCATCAACAGATGTAGTTTGGTAAATGAAATGGACACAAACCCTATTGTGGACAGAATAAAACGTGCTGCTGACCTGAAGCTGATCTAATTTTAACAAATAAATAAAATATACAAATTACATTTTATACCACTTATTCAGTTCAATCTTTTTGTCTATATGGTTTGCTTTCTTAAAATACTCAAATTTTATTTTTTCTGCTTTTTTTTATTGTGAAAAGAGGAAAGATTGCAAAAATAATCAGCTAGTTGCTCAAACTACAGCCAGACACACTGGCTTGTATTAAGTGTGTGAAATTTGGATACAAATAATTAGTGTTGATTTCCTATAGGGTAGCTAGCATAGAGACGATTGAGAATCTGTCAGACTTTAACAGTGTTTTGACGTCTCTATTTCGTTCCTTCATATTTTTCAGCTTAAGAAATGCTCACCTTTAAAAACTCATTAGACATTATCATCAAAACAGAAATGTGTATTCAAGTAAAGGCAAATTAATCCAAAGCCTTCAACAATCTTCTAGTAACTTTAGAGAAATTTGATATGAAGAGCTCATTAATGCTCTGAAGACTGGTCTCCGGTGGCCTAAATCTATGCTGCTTTAAACAACAATGCTCACTGTTTTTCTGAAGAACAAGGTTTATTAAAATGTCTTTATCTCTGCAGCAAAGATTTGAAACCAAAGAAAATCCACTCAAAAAACGGTATTAACTTGATGACATAAAAGAAGATCTCAAACATTTAATTACGCCATAAACAGAGAAAGTAGTCTGTTTGTTTGTTTTTTAGGTTTCAGTGAAAGTGAACAAGCTTTTCCTCTGCTAGCGATTGGATGGAAAATGATTGTTTTTTAACTAATCAAGCAAAGTAATCAAACATAACAAAGTTGTCAATAATGTGTTAACTCGTGTCTTGTGTTGTAGCTCCCGCCTCTCTTCGACGGCTGTTTCTTCTTCCTCCTCGGACCCTTTAAGGCGCCGACCAAAGACGAGCTCACCAAGCTGCTGAGGGAAGGAGGCGGCCAGCTCCTGAGCCGGCAGCCGAAGCCAGACAGCGACGTGACACAAACCCTAAGTGCAGCAGCTTACCACGCCCAGCCGGGCTCTGACCAGGCCCTCTGCACCCAGTACATCATCTACGACCCGCAGGGACCTTACAAGCCCGCAGTAGTCAGACGGGGAAAGGTGTGGTCTGCTCCGTCCACCTGGGTGAAGGACTGCATCGCTACCTTCTGCCTCCTCCCGGTGCCGAACCTTTAAAGCTTTTATTTACTAAACTGAATCATGTTTAAAAATTTTTACCTTAAGATGATTAATCATAAAAATTGCATATAGTCTAGAAAATAATAATATTAATAATGGAGTATTATTTTAGTGCTCGATGGAGAAAGGTCCTATGTTGATTCTTAGTGTTTTTCTTTGTGCAACCTTGACGTTTCTTTAGACAAGTCACTAGAAATTTGTGCATTACTAATGAAACAGACATTTTTAATAAAGAAATAATTATAAAATTTTTGCACGTGGTTGTAAATTTTTGCTTTAACGTAATAAACATTTTGTTTTGGGCTTCTTTTTAAAGAGCAAGTCAACCCCTACCAGAGTCTAACTCCACTCCCACTTCATGTTTGAAAAATGCAACGCATGCTGTTGCCTGGCAGACCGAGAGGGCGGAGCCGCTAACAAATACACCCACCCACACACACACAGGCTCACGACAGCATTGTGACATCATAATGTACCAGTTTACATCATAGCATACTTCTTAGCCAATAGCGGTGGCAGATTTAAATTAAAATACAGTGCAGAGTTTTTACCTGACAACGGCACAACACAGCCAGTTTTAGGCAGAATATTTAAATTTTAACTAAGATGCACTGAAGTGCCAAATTATTGACGACACGTGTCTGCAGCACGATTAGACACTCGTTTATTTAGTTTATCAGCAAAAAAAAGTTTATTTGGGGGTGACTTGCTCTTTAAACATACACTTTCAATATGGTGAAATATGTTCTTGAGTATTCTGGTTTGAAATGTGTACAATAATAGAAAAGAAAAATAAACATTTATCAAGATGGTCCTGATGAACCTACATTAGCACTTTGAAGGTATTTTTACAACAGTCAGCTTAGCCACACCACCTGTGATGGTCCTTTTCGTGACACCATCGATCATCTCTGCCATCTTCAGAGCGAAGTGTCTCCGTAGCTTCAAGATAAATCTCGTTTGGAGGAACTTGCATGTTTCCAATCTCCAACATTTCTTTTTCTACATTATGGCATTCATGGAGATTTTTTTGCCTGCAATCCTCAGTGCAGGAGGCATCCAGGTCTTATAATTAAATGGCCTTTGAGCAAAGTTGCTGCAGACCTTGCCGAGGCCCCCCTGCAGGGGAAGCTTTAGGCTCTGAGTTGTGGTTAGAAGTTAGCCTGACTGAAATAAAATTTAATCAGATAATTATTTGCTGCCTTTTCGCGACACGTAGCCTCTATTCCACCATTTCACGCCTCTGCACCTTGGCGGATGCCACAACCCACCTGCCTGTCGATTTCCAGCTCGCTTTAAGCACGTTCATCTGCTGCTCGTGCTTCCATTCTGCTGGGCCTTTTGTTTTGTGTCATGTGTGTGTTAGACTGAAATCAATTTGTTGTGTGCCTCAGTGTTTAATGGTGGGATCTTTTTCCATTATGTGAGTGGCTTTACCAGAAAGAGATTATCTAATTGAAAATGTCCGTTTAGAATGAAAGTGGAGTGGGGCACCACAGAAAGCTTGACTGGGAAAACAAAGCAGCATTATAAAATTCCATCGAAGTGCTGGCACCGGTTTAGAAACAAAAACTTTTTTATAGGAATGTGTTCTTTAAGAGATCCTCTGCTGGCTTTGCCCGGAATGCCGTTTTCAGTAGGATTAGTCAAGGATACACCTAATTGCTATTGATTGCCATGTGCTGCGTAAAATAGCTTCCTGTTTCTTGTCTGCAGTGGGAGGTGGGAGAAGACCGTTAGTGCGGACGAGATGGAAGCCTGAACTGACTTGTAATGAAATGGAATGGAAGAATGAACTTATGAGTAATGCCCTTGAACTCAGCATTACACCATTAAATTGCGTTATTGTTCCAGTCTTCTACTCATGCAGCCACGACAGTATTGTGCTTTTATTTATTCAGGAATCTCTTCACTTTCAAAACACATTACTCAAGGTTTTTGAGTTTTTCTTCAAAAGTTCTTAAATTCTGTGAGATGAATCCTGCAGCTGTTTGCTTTAACTGCATTTTTTGTCATGAAGTTTTCAAAAACATGCAAGAAAAGAAACTAGAATGAATGAGTTTTTATTTTATCATCTCAAGTGATTTGATGTCCAGAAATCTATTAAAAGTAAGGATATGCGATATCGGCGCGTAAAGCAGTATCTGACATATTTTTTTACTCTTAATTCCTGACACCAATATATGCGGCGTCCTTCATTAAAAAAAAAACATTTTTACTACCTATTAGTCCCTATTGTGCAAAATGTACCTTATCTGTGCAAAATATGACTACTACCTCAATTGTATTCAGGCCGAGTGTGAAATATCTCAAAAACTAAACCTCAGATGTTTCATATTTTGACATTTTTAGTGACCAGAGCTGTAGCTGAAGAGTTTCAGGTATAATATGTACTTGACATGTAAAAGTTGTGTCGTTAAAAGAGTAAAAACAATTACAGACAATTTCCATCATCACATGTTAATGCTAATATCAGCTGACAGCATTCCTATTTTAAGAGTCTGACTCGATAAAAGAAAACTCCACGCTCACTTATGTCTAATAAAACTTGTTTTAAACTCAGTTCCACTAAATATCTCTTTCTAAATAAACACAACACGTTTTATTTCCGATGGTATTGTTTTACTCCACCTTAGATTTCAGAATACACATTTTACATTTGAAGATATTTACATATAAACACGTGGAGCACCGAGGGTCATTTCAGAAATTTGGATTCTGTTTGAGTTTAGATTGAACTTCAGCGAGCGTTTTAAATACAATCATGATTCTAAACATAATTTAAAAACACATGAACAAATCCTTGGTGCTCCCCAAATAAAAGAAGGAATAAAATACAATTGATTAGGTAATAACAGTGTTTTAATCTTCCTTTACCACATCTGTGTTGGTTTTCAGGCACACTTTATGTAACAGTTTTGTTGCAGGAGAGTAAAATAAAGCAAAGAGGGAGAAATTAAACAATCTTTCATAGTTCCCAGCTACAGTAAGTCGGTGTCTCATGGAAAAAAGCAGCATGTACAAGAAGCCCATGAACAAGCCCGTAGTTTTCATGATGGAGGGGAGGACAGACGGGATGATTAGATTAGACATTCACAAACCGACAAAAAGAAACGTTAACAAAGACGGGCTGCGTGACTGATCCGTCCTTCCTCGGATTTGCAAGGTGAAATGTAATTTCCTCTGGTTTGCTCAAGAATAACTGAGTTTGCACCGAGTGGAGAAAAGCAGCATATTGTTTTCTGTTTGAGGAATGCATTTATTTAAAGTGCAGAGCAACATGTGCAGTAATGCAGACCTGCTGCATGCCTGCACCTACGGAAGCTTATTGCCGTCAGTGCAAGGAAAAAACACTGGTGCAGCATCTCGTAATAACGAAAACGTTTCTCGTTTTGCAATTTAAATTTTGTTTTAATGATAAACTTTCTCATAATGAGATGTAAAACTCTTTTTAATGACGTTTCTCAAAATAACGTGTTTAATAACGGCAAAAGGTCGTAACGGGAAAATGATAAAATATGTTGTGTCATTCCACTCCGATTGAACAAACTAGTGGGCCATTCCCATCTGTACCGGGTCGGCCCGGGCCGGGTAGCCCCAGTCGGCCCCAGCCTGGCCCGGGTGATTCCACACATCCTTGCCTTAAGCCCATGTGGGCTGATTCTACCCACCAATCAGAGGCTTGCTCTAATGGAAGGTGTGAATTTGCTGTCAGCAGTGGGTGTGTTGGCCCTGGTCGGCCTGAAGCAGACCCCCTCGAGAAGAGGGCTGAGAATGAGCCTTGGTTGGCCCGGAAAAATACCAGGCCACCCAGATATGTAAACAACCTACGCTACCCGGCCCGGGCCGACCCGGTACAGATGGGAATGGCCCATAGTTATTCCAGTTCTTGATGTTTGGCCTTTAGGATCTACAGAGCAGCAGTGTCACAACAATGGGGAGGAACCGCCAAACAACAGCGCAAGAATCAACAAATTACACTCGCTAGCTCTTTTTTCTGCTGGCTCTGTCATGTACACCCTGTTGCCAAGGCAACAGACTGACAGCTCGTTTTACCAAGAGCTTGTGTTTAACTCATTAACTGCCAGCCATTTCCTGATCAGAAAAGCCCTTCGCTGCCGGCGTTTTTCAGCGTTTTCACAGTTGTTTTTAAGAGTCACAGAACGTTGTGTTCTGATGATGTCGACGCCAAAACTACCAAAACAAAGAGTCTCACCTCTCACATCAGGAAGAGTCCGCGTGTTTCAAGCGTTATCCGTTCTTTCATAATCCGTTGTTGAATTATGATCGGCAGAAGCTTTTCTGGTTCGCGCCTCACTTTTTTTGATCTCCTAACACGTGGATTTTCTGCTTCCTGGTCACGTGACACGTGACAGACTCGGATGAAGATCAGCTTTAGAGCTGGGATGTTTGTTCTCATGGTGCGGAGGCTCTTTCCAATGCCCACACAGTAAAAAAAAATGCAAATAACTTCAGTCGTCAATGGCAGTGAATGAGTTAAGTCTAACAGGTGCATAACACCTATAACACCCACAGATTTCCCTCACAATGATAATAGGCCTAATGTCATATCGAGAGATTCAACATCCTGCAAGATGTCGGCGTTTCTCCCTTTACTGCTATCTCATTGTTACGAGATATGAAACACATTATTTCAAGAAAGAAAATGACTTAAGTTTGGTTATAATGAGAAAGTTTCTCATTCAAACAAGATTTCTATCACATTATAACACGAACCCTCATTATTTCGAGATACTGCTCCTATTTTTTCCCCCACACTGATGGTAATGTGCTTCCGTATGTATCCGATCTGCAGCAGTAAAACTAAAATCTTCTGCCTTTTTCCATGCAACCATCTTTAAATATTCTGTTTCATTTGCTCTCTGAGAGCAGCCTAGATAACAACTCACCTCCAACATGTGGACGAACGTCTAATCTAAGTTTAGACTTGTTTAATTTTCTGCTGCACACTTTTTTTTCTCATAAACCAATGAGAGCGGCTCTCTAAGTAAAAAAAAAAAAAAAAAAATATATATATATATATATATATATATATATATGTAATAACGTGTTTACTAACGACAAAAGGTCGTAATGGTAAAATTATAAAATATGTCGTGTCATAAGTTTATAAATCATGTCTGACTTTTTTCTCTTTTTATTTATTTACCTAGGTGAAATGCCGGTGTATTTTTAGATCCAGCCTCTGGAGTTTCAGCTTTGAATGGACGACACTCGTCCTTGTACTTTATGTGAACCCACAGGCTCCTTCTGGAATGTCGTCCAATAAAACAAAGAATAGTTTTGGGGTAATCCATAACAGTGAACCATTGCAGAGAGCAGTGGAACAAACTTGAAGCAGTCTGAGCCGTTCCTTCTATGCGACGCCAACGGCCGTGCTTTGTGAGTCTTATCTGGACCCGCAGCAATAAGGCATCTGTGGTGGCAGAACTCGCCTTTCACTTCTGTCCAAACAGTCCTGTCAGCTGACGCTTCTCTTCAAAATGTTTCTCTAAAGCTTTCTTATTTTTTTTATTAATGGATACATTTGTGAGCTGAATAATTTTGCGGCATTTAAAGTAATTATGATGAATGAATCTCCTTTAATAATCCTGGAATGTCTGATGCATCGAGGCCGGGGCTGATGAACCACATCTGAGTTGGCTTTGTTTTATGAGCCTGCGGACCTCAAACCAGATAAATTGGGTTTGTCTTTGTATACTGAGAGACACTAAATATATGCAGTTAAATGATGAAAAGTGACAGACTCCATTGTTCCTCCTAAATCTGAATTTTGCCCAGTTTATTTCCTTTTTCTTATGTTATCATCGCAGATATGCTGCAGCCATGCAGCAGACTCAGTAGACAATTATTTCTAAATCACTTTTTTGTGTCTTTTAAGGTAACGCGCCTATTTAGCCATCGTTGTGTTCATGTCTGCCTCCTTACGGAGAACTAGGAGCTGCTCTTTAAGCAACACGTCCATCACCGAACAGGAATGGGGTCTAAAACACAACCAGATTTTCTAGAAACAGAGGGGGGGGGGGGGGGGGGGGGAAATCCAGTGATAAACTGAACAAGCTAACAAAAATTCACCTTTGAATTAATAACTGGTATTTATCATCTAGAATGAGGCCTAGGTGTGATTTTTCTTCCAGACTGGACCACTTCACAGCCAGAAATAAATGCCAGCTCGCCTAAATGTTACAGACTCGATTGCAGCAACACAACATTCTGATGTGGAGGAGAGGAGAAACAAGCTGCAGAAAATGTAGGAGCTATGTGATTTGAGTGCCTGAGTTGGTGCAGAGTGACATCATGTGCCTGGGACAGTGGATGAATGCTTTCCATGTTTTCTCACATGGATGCTATGCTTGTAAATGCTTCCCGAAAGCTTTTAGCCGTGTGCAGGTTCTCCTCTTTTGTCCGCCGCTTCTTGCTGAATGTGCCCAGCGTGCAGGCTGCAGCTAAGCACCCAGCTGGAGGATTTATCACAGAATACTCCTGATTAAGGGAAATTAAAGTAGGCCACTCTTGGCTCGCTAACTGCTTTGATAACAATTTCAAGCGGATGGTTAGTAGGGGACCTTTCTGCCCTCAGAGAGAAAACCATAAACCAGTTGATCTGGAGAAGGGTCCCCAGAGTTCTTTTGATGCAGTTCCTGTTCCTCTGTGATTTGTAGAGGATCACACCTTTCTTGCTCTTCAGCTGCTCATACTGACAACTCGTTCTGTTTGTGTTGCTACTTGACAAAAACGTGACAAAAAACAAGGGGCTACTAAGAAAATAGCATCAGAGGTGCACAACAGCCAGAATGATAAAGTCTCACAAGGTCAAACATTAATGTGTTGTGTGCATTTTGTAAACAAGCTCTCAGAGTGAAGTCATAAAACTCAAGTTCGTCTGAAATAAGCAGAAAAAAAGTGCAGTAAAGTGTGCTTTTGCGTTGTTTTTTTTTCTGCCGTTGGAGCTTTACAACACCTTTGTGGTTGTGACAAACATCTACAACAAGCTGATGACGTACATACAGAAACCGACATCAGCAATGGAACATTGCCAGTGGTTAGGAAAGAGTTCGAGAAGCTTGGAAAGTTTCCGAGTGAAAGCAGCAAGTCGGATTCTTTTAAAATATGTAGAGCGAGTAAAACCGCGGGGCGGAAACGGAGACAAGTTCCATCACCTCCTCGCTGGCTAGATTTGTATTTGTGTGAAACTTGGGAGAACACCTCTGCACTTCTTCACCGTCTCCATTTTTCTCATTCCTCTTTTTTTTTTGTTTTTGTAAGAATTGTGCTCCTGCCCTGTCATTCGTACAAAATGGCGCAGTAGGCAGAGCCTTGCCTGAGCTTATCCACCATCCCCACCGGAGTCCCTCTATGACAACGATTGGCCGTTGAGGCACTCCCGCCGCAAGCACTGCGCTGGCTTCCACCAATCTCCGTTGTGGCAGCGGCAGATGGTGCAGTCGTCCACCTTTACTTCTATTCCGGCTGGGATGATCGTCGTTCCAGCAAAGCAATTTGGACCTGCCGCACGGGAAGAGAGAAAAGAAAGGTAGAGCTAAGTTCAAAAAAATAGAACAAGAACGACAAGAAATGGATGCATGTCTCCCGAGAGCTTCTTTTTGCAGAAGGTTGGTGGAAGTGATGCAGAAAGCTGCAGGGAGTTTGGGGAGTCAGAGCAGACGTACAGATCTTTTCACAGGCACGCACCGATGGGCTTGTTTTTGCAACACTAAAGCGCTTTTGTTAGTCTCCCCTTCTCCCTCGACATGGAGCGCTTTGCATCCTAATGTGCCGCAAGCAGAAGAGCCTGCCAGGCGCTGGCTTGGCAGTGCAGAGAGGCTGGAGTGCACACAGAGAGAGATGGCTGCTTTGAGAGGACATAGGGAAGGAGGTGTTAATCACTTCACTTCTGTATGAACGGGCCACAGAACTTCTTACAACTTCTTTGCAAACACTAACTTCCCAAACTAATAAAGTGCTCAGATGAAGTTTGACGTCAGTTTTATTCTCAAAAGGCCATCAGGGTTTATTTCTGTGGACTCCTGCTTATTGACAGTATCCCTTTAAGTCTAAATTGAGTTCACACATCACGAAAAACGTACACTACCTACGTATCGGATAAATCCTACTTTAAAGAGGCAGATGAGTTCAAATATCCTGCGTATGATTTTCCAGCAGACTAAATTGCTGCTACTCTTGTGAGAAAAATTGTACCACTAATACTAAAAAGAACTTTAAATGAATACATTTTAGTTATCTCGCCATGCCTCAGAGATTCACCTGAATTTCTCTGACCTTTCTTCCAGAAGGTACAAGGAATTCTCCAAGTTCTATTCCTTTGAATGAAGCAGTCAGCAGCTCAATTTAAAGTGATAATGACTCTTCAGTATTCAGCTCTGTAAAATCTGCCAATTTCAGAGCTCTACGACTTGTCATAAAAACCATATGTGCTATACTTCACAGAGACACAGCCGTTTCCTCAGCCAGCATTTAAAGACATTTTGATATCTATAAAACTGATTTAGTGTTAGATACCTTAATAAATAAATGGCAGTCAACCTGAAAAAGCTACACAGTACAGTTTTGTTCCAACTGACTCAATTCAGTATTATTTTGGCCTTTTCATGTGCAAATTTTATTATTTTCCATCTCCTACTAGGTGTGTTTTGTCTGCAAGATTCTTTGACATCTGCTCTGTCATGTACCATTTCTAGGACGCCCTTCCCAAAGTCAGCATAGGTCACATGACAATAATTTAGTGTTCGAAGCAATTGACTTTGAAGTTAAGCCACAGTGTAATGGTGTCCTAGCCTAATTTACCTTGTTGTTGTTGAATGTAGGAAGCTTGATGTATCTAATGTACCATAACAAGACCACACTGTCTTTAAATTGCTGTTTTATGTAAACTAAAGGCCACAGAGAAACTGTTAGTTCTGAGAAAGACTGCTATTGACCCTTTGCACGTGATGTAAGTTAAGTTAGCAAACTCTAACTTTCTTTGAGCCCCAGCTAGGTGTGTTAAATCTTCTTACAAGTAAACTGGGCTTGAACTTGTAGAAACCAGAATAAATGGCAAAAAAAAAAAACATTGCTCACCATTCAATTCTCCCGCAATTCATTGTCCACGTCCACCATTGCGGACCCACGTGATCAGGTGGCATAGGTGCAAAGGGTCAATGACACATCACAGGCAGGGCACTCTCTCTTAAATGTGCATGCCCAAACCCACCTTGTTGTCTGCAATATATAAATGTTGATCATCGAGGTACCGCTAACGCTAGCCTGAGCTACAGGGAACATTGGAAATTGGCTTGAAAGACAGGCAGAGCCACAGCTTGTGGTCCGGTCCACTAGAGTTTGGCCACTCACTTCTTTGTCTGTATCACACACACATTGCAGAGGTCTAGCACACACACCCTGTTGTACACAGTTTCTAGCTTCATGTAATATCATGGAGCCACTGGGGTAAATCGGCCAATCAACACACAGCTCACTTACTTTGTCCTGGCCGAATGGGTAAGGATAACCACTCTACCCATTGTAGGGCTTTTTACAGGGTTGAATACGACTGTTAACCAGAGCTCCTGGATGATTGCGATCCTCAACAAAGTTTTAAATGCTTTACAGAGGCTCAAACAGATGTTTCCAATCACTAGTATTATTTCCAATTGTGAAAAATGTAATTTTGAGTCACCCTAAAATGCTTGGAGCGGTACAATAGCTCCCACCCCCACCTATGAGGGTCTTAACTTGGTGTTTTTTGTATTAAGATTGGGTGCAAGAGAGCAAAAATGTCCACAAGAGAAACCACAACAAGGTAGTAGGCTATTAGGCCTTCTCGCCTTTTGCTTCAGATATTCAAATCTATTATTTGGGTCTGATAAAATAAAAAAGGTATTTTGCTATCTTAGCTTGGTGGCGACACAGAAACTGCTTACCAAGTCTTAACGCTCATTGATCTAGCCCTAGACAGCTGACAAAGGTTACAGGACAAAGTCAGCAGAGTGTGTAGTGAGTGTGACCACTATTGCTGCCAAGTGTTAACTTTTATAGCATGACTGGTCTGGAAACACAAGGACGCCCAGTTTTAGCTTTCTGTCACTAGACAAAGAATGAGCCGTCACTTATCAGTCACTGGTGATTTGTGATGGCAGAAGAATGATTCAGTTTTAAAACACTTATAACAAACAACAACTGAGGTATAGCTGTGACATCAGAAAACAATAATTTAACAGAAATTTGTGTTGTGTTTTGCTCATTATTTATTTCTTATTTATTTCTAATCATCTTTGCTTTTATTTGAAAACGAGCATCGTTGTAGCTTGTGAAGAAGTGTGAGATGAGCACATGCAGCAACGTAACATCCTTTGAAATAATTGCTCACATTTAGAACGAAAACACGAAGACCCAGTGAGAATTCAACAGTCTGGAGAGGAAGCTTCTTCTAGATCTCTGCACACAGTAAGATCTTAAGTACATATTTCAGTTTTTATTGCTTGTTCATACAAAAAAGCAGTTATTTTCATCTCACCCCTAAAGTTTAATAACAGAGGTGACCCTCAAGGATGAGTTTTAGACCTGCTTCTTGCCTTTACTTGGTGTTAAGTTCTACCGTGTATTTTTAAAGCAAGAATTTCTCAGTTTATTGAAAGTGATAACATTTCTCTGGACTTTCAACTTTGTCTGCTTTGTTCTTACTCTCTGAATTGTTGGACAGACTTGAAAAGAGGAAAACAAAAGGGTATAAAAAAATCAAAAGTTAAACGAAACATCTTTTTCACATAGATCAACAGAGTCTGTAATTTTTGTATGCAAGCAATGCCCAGCAACGGCCTGAATCACTTAGGCGGTACAAAATGCAAACTAATCGCAGGAATGTTAATGAAGGTTCAAATTAAATTGTTTCTTTCCTAAATGATCTGTTAGGGATGTGATGATTGCAAACAAACAGAGTTTTGTATAAGAGATCAATGAGAACCTGCTCTATTGGGTTATAAAAGGGGGTTTTGGCTGGTGCAGAAGAACCGTCTGCAGCAGGGCGTATACACCATTTGGATCAATGTAAAGAACTATAATGTTTGGAGACAACAAACTGGCAAAAAGTGCTAACAGAAGGGAGCCAGATCTCCAAATAGAGCCTGTTTGTTCACAAAAGACATCACTAGCTTCAAATCGGGATTCATTTGGGAGGTGAGCCGGAAAGAGTCACAATTCCCATCACTACTTTGTTCACATATGCTGCTGGAATGTGCTAAACTCAAAAATACTGAAGAGTATCAAACAAAATACCCGCTTCTTTATGGTTAGCTATAACAAGCTGGAAATGAACAACACAGGCAGAACTGCTGCTCAAAGCTACATAAAACTAAAAGAAAATTTGACTTCTTTGACTTAAAATACATTTTTAAAATTATGCTTTTCAGCGATAGTTTAAGTATTTGAAAATGTCAAATGATTTGACTGCATGTTTGGCCAAAGCACGTTTAAATAGCTTATTTTGCCCCATCGTGTGTCCCCTTGGCCAAAAGTGAGGGTAAACATCATCCCCTTTGTGTCGTGTCCTCACAGTCCTTAGCCATCCAGTCGTGTAGAGATTTATCTGTGTCCCGGAGTCTGACCACAGACCCTTGGGGCACCTGGAAGCAGCAGGCCTTCCCTGAAATGCCAAGGGTGTCATTGGGTCCTGTCAGGCAGAATTAAATCTCTCCAAGCAGCTTCTGCAGCCTTGTTACTCCAAGCGTTTGGCAAGAATCGAAATAAAAACAGGTAGAAAAAACAGTTCAAGCTTGAAGATTAGGGGTGGTAGCTACCCATCTTACTTCACGTTCTTGTTTGGTCACTGGAAACGAGTCTGGGAATGAATTAGACAGTTTTTACTGTGCTTTTTGCTACAGATTTTTTGAATTGGCTCATTCTGTATTTTCCTTTACTCATTAAATCCAATCTGTCCATTGAAGCAGCAATCCAGAGGTTTCCCCCTTTCAGGAATGCTGAATGTTTATTTAGAAATCCGTAAAAGTGATAGTCTTGCCCTGTTAGGTGATATAATGTAGGCGATGTCAGTTTATTTTTCTTAACACTCGTAAGAAGTAGCAAGATTACCGTAATAGCTCTAAAGATAATCTTGTCTTTTGTGTTGTGTTAAGCACTCTGGTCCACTTGGAAGCAAAGTCAGAACAACTCTGATTATAAATTGAGGCATTCAAACATGGGGAATTGTCTTGGTCTGATTTTTGGGGTCAAACGAACGTGCGGCCAGTTGAATGTGACAACTACCCAATCAGAAAGACAGATACGTGCAGCACCCTACTCCTGCGCCACGTTTGTTTACTTCAAAGTCACGTTTTATTTATTGAGATTTCCTGTCTGAACAGGAATACCCCTGAGTGAACGCAGTTTGTGTGCAGTGTGTAGTTTAGCTGTACACCACTCACTAGCGGACCCAAACTGGTAAATCTGTGTGTGTGTGTGTTTTGGTTATCACCATGTGTGCGACCTCTCTTGCCTCTCTTGTCTAACAATTGAAGACCCCTGCTGTGTGAACCAGGATTAGGGGTTGTTTCTTGCAGAGGGACGGCGCCCAGCTCAGCTTGTAAATAGTCAGTGAACCATTGGATTCCTATAATTCTGCTTTAGGCTTTGGCTGTGTGTGTCAAGGGCACCAGGGCACTTGGAGATAAAAAAGCCCTCTGAGGACCCATTAGTCCTTCCTTCCATGTCTTTAATCAATGGTCTAATGTTTACTCTGCTTAGTGTGTCGTACATAATTAAAACTAGTATTGCTCATTAGTGTCTAGTGAACCAAACGTAATCATTTTAATACGTAAAACATCAATTACACCCTCACCTTTGAAAGACACAAACATCGAATTGGCGACACGATAAATAAACGTTTTATTGCCGATCCAGATTCGTACATTCAGCATCAGAAGAGATGAGTATTTACCATTTTTACAGATGGGGCAGCACTGCTCTGGCTCGTACACTGGGTTGACACACTCTGGGACAGCACAGTCTGACACCACACAGTGTACCTCATTATTTGGTTCGCAGCGGCACCATTCACAGGGCGACGGCTGTGGGCATAAAGGAGGGGAGAGAGAGAGAATCTGGGTCAGACGATTCACCTTCAATGTGTGTGTGCATGTTACAACAACTGAAAGAAACAGTTCGCATCCATATATTCAGTTCTATGTCTAAGTGAGCTTAGAGAAAGCTCTCTTCCTATGCATCCCATAATATCTTGATTAAACATAGAACACAAAAAGATTAGCAGCTCCAACTTCAATGAATCCCTTGCATTATAACAAGCTCCGTCTCTGAGCATGTTTGGTTAAAGACTATGAAAAGAGAACATCTCTGAAGTGTTTATAGAATTCTCCATTTTGCAGGATTCTGCATCAGCTAGCCTCAGGAAACAGTTCCGTCTTATCTCACAACCTCTGCATCATGTAAATCAGCTGCTGCCTCTTTCTTGACTCTATCTTCCCCAAATCCCTTGGCCGGCAAATGAACTGTAATGCAATTACATCAGCTGGAAAAACTACAAACTGCCTTCAAATCTGCAAAGGTCAGGAGTTCATCATCATTTGTATTGTTTTTGTTCATGATGGTACACAAACTTTCAATGGACTCTCGCCTCTGGGCTCAGAACTCAGAGCTTCAAACCAAGAGGGCACAGACACTTTATGTTTGACGACCGTGCTGCAGCTTTCCGATAAGTAGGCTAAAGGCTGCAGAGAGAAAGCAAAGAGCAATTCCAAAACGCTGCTGATGAAATTTCCAGTTTCAACATAACATAAGCTTCCTTTCATTTAAGCTTTACGTGTAGATGGTGTTTAAAAAAAGTCACATTTTCTTTCAGTTTAGAATGTTAACAAGGCTGTCTTTTTGGTGGTTTTGAAAGTGTTACGGCTGGTGCCATTTGTGTTTTAATTTCATTTTCACTCCTCTGTATTTACCCGTCCTGCGTGAGAGGAGCTCTTTTGCAGCACCTGGCTCCTTCCAGACCTGTCCAGCTCCACACTGAAGCTTCTAGCTGGTGGCAATGACAATCAGCAGCTGAATGTCAGTTGGAGAAGAAAGTAGCTTCAGAAGACAAGATTTGGAGTCTTATTTCCTGATTTTTGGAAATCTCGCCTCTGATTGGCTAACAGCAATGCAATTCTACCACTGACTCTGTTTTCTTTGCAACACTGATGCTTTATCTCCACAAACAACACAAGTCTGGAGGAGTTCTGCTGTATGGTGGAGTTGCAAATGCAAATGGTTAGCTTATTCTAGCCGAGACGTTCTCTGCGGTTTCCTGCAGAGATGGGAAATTGCGGCATCAACAAGTCATCTCCATGTTATGTTTTTGTTCTGCTCAGCAACAAAACCAGGTGATTTCAATCAGCACAGTGAATGAACCTGGTTTAGTTACTGAGCAGAACAAAAACACGACATGGAGATGACTTGTTGATGCCACAATTTCCCATCTCTGGTTTCCTGCACTCTAAACCAACAGCAGCATTACCCGTGACAAGCCAAAATGGGCGAGTCAATGAATGTTAAGTGACAGTGTGATGTACATTTGTCAAGGTTTTTAAATCCTAGCATTTTACTGTCTATTTTCTAGAAGCTAATGCAAGAAAACAATCATTAAAAAAATTTTTTCAGTGAATTGCACCTTTAATCAAATCTCACATAGCATCAGAAATGACATTTCCTGGCCTTGTGCGTTACAATCAACAGAAGCCAAGTAAACACCTAAAGAACAAAGCAGAATTCAACTGTTATGTTTTATTTGGTCAATTATAAGTTAGAAACAAACTCCAAAAACATCAAGCTGAGACAAGGACACACCTACAGCTTTTTTATGCAGCACTGGTTTAATCTTTAAGTGAAACTTCAAACCTGACAACTGCTTTAAACCAAGTCCAGACGGTTACCATTATGGCCAGGGGCGGCGTTAGGCCCGGCTACTTGGGCTGAAGCCCCGGATGTTTTATCAAAAGCCCCGGATCTAAATCTCGGAAGTAACATGCAGTACCAAAGTCCAACAGAGAGGGAGCAGCTAGCAGTAGTTTGTATACAGCCTGCCTGAGCCTCCACCACTGAAGAAGAAGCCCTTCAGCAGCTGGCTTCTTCTACACTCTGCCTGAAACGCATGAGTGAAGATGGACATAAGGACGTTGTTTAGACAAAAAGTACAACGAGAGAACCCCAGCTTTGATGAGACTGGTGTTGACTCAGGTTCGTGGGTCTTATTTGAAAATATTTGTTGTGCTGCTGGTTTGCCTAAAGTTAGCTTACTATCAGGTAAAGTTGATGGAGAAAGAAAGGGAATATTTACTATCATCTCACACTAAACACTAACAGGAACAATACTCTGCCCTGAATATGCTTAATATGTAGCTTCAGATTAAAAATTATGTGGTACAAGACAAATATATATGATGTTGACTAGTGCGTGTCACGTGTGTGCGCGCGTGCGCGCGCGTGCGTGTGTTAAGCCCCGGATCTTCTTCAGTCCTAAATCCGCCCCTGATTATGGCAAAAATAAATAAATGAATAAATAAAAACAGCCCGTGTGGTTTTGGAGCAATGCTTCTCCCGTAGGCAGAAAGCTCCTCTGCTCAGGATGTAGGAGGTCCGTCAAACAAGCAAATGGGAACGGAGATGACTAGCAATGATGTGCTAATGTGGGTGAAAGCAAATAGTCTTGATTTAATGAATTGTTATTCTCCTTCTTGAGAGCCAACAAGAGAAACTAAAACAAGCTGGAATCTGGCAGCTGCAAACGAGCTTATTTCTGTTTGTCTCCATCTACTTAACAAAGAATGTTGTTATTTTTATTTTTGTTGTTTTCATCTCAGTGTTTGTTGAAATCCACAGCTTTATCCCATGTTTTATTAAACTACAAAATGAAACAAAACGTGCATGTAAGACTTATTAAGCTTGACAATAAACAATCCCATTGCTGCAGGTTAATCTGGTGAGGTAGATACCAGCAGATCCAGGACCGTCTTACACTCTAAAAGTTGTAAATTGAGAAGAAAACCACTCCATACACCAATGAAACACTGACGGGAATCCCTTTCTTTAGTCTGCAGCATCTGATGCTTTCAGTGAGTCCTTTTGTATAAGGTCTGCCGTGAACAGGATCAGTCATGCCTTACCTCGGACTCAAAGGAAAATGGAGCAGAAGCACCAAATGTAGACATGCTGCTGAATGTTTTGGCAAAGAAAAGAATCATGTTTCCGTTTTAATGGCTGAGTATCATCACATATCCATTGCTTTTCATTCCTGCTCTTAGACAAATGGGAACAGGGCAATGATTGCTCAACTTTAAGCGATAAAAATAACTTTTGAGGTCACAGAAACCTTGACAGTTGAACTGAATTCTGGTTTTGAGCAGTTTAAATCAATGATTCAAACATTTAGTGGAATGACAGAACAAGGTGGCAAGATCTGAGTGCAATGTGAATTTCTTGCTTAAAGCACTCAGCGCTGCACTACAAGTGCAATTAAATTCAAACAAACAAAATCTTTGTGGCCAAATTGTTTGCACTCACTGGCACCATTGTTGACTCTAGCAAACTGGATAGGAAAATCGATTACTGCAATCATTTTTACAGCCTTTATAGCTGGTCTCTATCAAACCTGTGTTACTAACTACTGTCATGAGTGACGTGTGGGAGGCTCAGTTTGTGCCTGCTGCCTTTACGTTTAAAGACATTCATTTAACTAGCAACACATGTCTAGAATGACCATTTCCTGCATTGATGAAACAGTCCAAAGTTGAAAGAAATAAAACAAACTATTTTGTTATTTGATTTCTGTTCATTATAGTGGTACAAAATTAAAGGAAATGCAAGAATCTATTTAAATCTCCCGGAGAGGCAGGCCTGAGTTACTTTCCACTGTTTTCTCGTTTAAATGGTTTGAAGAAAATTCAAAAGATAAATTAAAAATCAGGACAGAATGTTTTATTATATTTGATGAACCCAATACATTATTTCATTGTATCTCTTATCTTTTCTTTAGCAATGTTCACATAGTTTACATATTGTCTTTAGCCTAAAGTTCCGGAAACTGATTTTGGACTTAACTATTTAAACCCGGTTGACATGGTAGGATTTTCAAAGCATGAGAGTCTGCTCTCAGAGTGATAAATAAATCATAGATATAACAGTTTTGGTCCTACAGTGTGTGGTGTGCACCAGCTCAACCACATGAACCACTTTTACTTACTGACATTCTCTACTCAAACAAGAAAACTCCCTAAACAAAACGTAACTTTAGAGGAAACAAACATGGAGGAAGACGAGCGTGTTGTGCTTCCACCACCTCACTCTGTGATCAGCTAAACGTTGCATTTAACAGGCAGCATTTTAGTTTGTCCCTGAAAATCCGGCCAGGATAATCCAACACGTTTGATAACCCCATTTTATGATCATAATGGTCCTGACGTATTTTCAAGCAGACCAAAGCACTCTCAACACACCACAAAGGCAGGGTTATCTGATAACATTATCTTAAGAGCCGTTAAGGCAATAATGTGCAACTTTAAAGGGACTATAAGGAAGTTTGACAGCCAAAACATGTATAGAAATAATACATTTCTTCTTCATACATTCTCCTGCATTGCCCTGGTCCTGTAGACTGAGCCCTGGCATTTTTACTGTGATTGCCTGTTTTTCTGTAAAATCACAGAAAAAGAGAGATGCTCGGGTCGAGCAGGCTGCTTCATGCGTGTTCACGCTCAGGCATAGCCCGTAGCATTTGCTATCCGTAGCTTTAGCAGCAGAGAGTGAGGTAGAACCAAATCAGTGACTTTGTCGCTGTTCCTAACACCAAGTGATGAACCTACATTTCTGAGGACGCTTAGCTACTTTCTTCTAGATATTTCCTGCAAATTAGCAACAAAATAGCCATTTTCGCTCCGAACCGTTCTTTGAACTTTGTTTCAGCTGTCATCAACGATATAAATGTTACAGATACACAGACATCATTGGTGCTTTAGCTCACCTAGTAAGACGTCAGACTCTCGTGCAGAAGACCCGGTTTCGATTCTGGATGTGACTATAAATC